AAGCGACGCATAGTATCCCCAAGCGACGTATTGTATCCCCAAGCGACGCATAGTATCCCTAAGCGACGTATTGTAACCCCAAGCGACGCATAGTATCCCTAAGCGGCGTATTGTATTCCCAAGCGACGCATAGTATCCCTAAGCGGCGTATTGTATCCCCAAGCGACGCATAGTATCCCTAAGCGACGTATAGTATCCCTAAGCGACGTATAGTATCCCTAAGCGACGTATTGTATCCCCAAGCGACGCATTGTATCCCTAAGCGGCGTATTGTATCCCCAAGCGACGCATAGTATCCCTAAGCGACGTATAGTATCCCTAAGCGACGTATAGTATCCCTAAGCGGCGTATTGTATCCCCAAGCGACGCATTGTATCCCTAAGCGGCGTATTGTATCCCCAAGCGACGCATAGTATCCCTAAGCGGCGTATTGTATCCCCAAGCGACGCATAGTATCCCCAAGCGGCGTATTGTATCCCCAAGCGACGTATAGTATCCCTAAGCGGCGTATTGTATCCCCAAGCGACGCATAGTATCCCCAAGCGGCGTATTGTATCCCCAAGCGACGCATTGTATCCCCAAGCGACGCATTGTATCCCCAAGCGGCGTATTGTATCCCCAAGCGACGCATTGTATCCCCAAGCGACGCATTGTATCCCCAAGCGACGCATTGTATCCCCAAGCGACGCATTGTATCCCCGAGCGACGCATTGTATCACTAAGCGACGCATTGTATCACCAAGCGACGTATTGTACCCCCAAGCAGGGCAAAGTATCCCTAAAAGAGGTATTATATCCCAAAGCGACAAAATGAATCGCCAAGCTATTATTGAATACCCAAGTGACGCATTGCATCCCAAGCGACGTATTGTATCCCAAAAAGACATAATGTATCCCCGAGCGACGAACTGTACCTCCAAGAGACGTATTGTATCCCCAAGCGACGCAGTGATGAGAGATGAGGGAGGTGTGTGACAGATGAGTGAGGTGAGTGAGAGATGAGTGAGGTGAGTGAGAGATGAGTGAGGTGAGTGAGAGATGAGTGAGGTGAGTGAGAGATGAGTGAGGTGAGTGAGAGATGAGTGAGGTGAGTGAGAGATGAGTGAGGTGAGTGAGAGATGAGTGAGGTGAGTGACAGATGAGTGAGGCGAGTGAGAGATGAGTGAGGAGTGAGAGATGAGTGAGGTGAGAGATGAGTGAGGTGAGTGTAGTAACAGTCAATCAATCGCCCCCGGGGGGGGGGGGAGGGATAATCAACCCCTCATCATACTGTTGACAAACTCATCAACTCACCTCGAGATGTCACAATGAACGTGATCCATAGGTTATCTTGAGGTTATCGTGAGATGATTTCGGGGTATAGCGTCCCCGCGGCCCGGTCCTCGATCAGGTTTCCTATTAGTTACACACCCCCAGGAAGCAGCCCGTACCAGCTGTGTAACTTCTAGGTACCTATTTACCGATAGGTGAACAGGTTAATCAGGGTTAAGAGACTGATGTTATTTAAGATAGCCCATTTGTTTAGGACTACGAATCCCGAGCGCTGTCCACTCAGCCTTCAGGCCAGTGCTAATTAAGTTGATAATATGTGCATCACCACATACACATATTATACAATTGGTCGAAATATGAATGTGGCCCGCCATCGGCTCGCAGACATTGGTGCTGGCTTGCCAGACGAAAAATTTTGTCGATCCATGCAATACTGCAAGATCCTGAAAAGTTGGCGATCCTTGCAATGCTGCCGTATCCTGGAAGGTTGGTGATCCTTGCATTGCTGCAAGATCCTGGAATGTTGCCGATCCTTTGCAATGCTACAAGATCCTGCATGGTTGCAGATCCTTGCAATGCTACAAAGACGTCACATCAGCTGCCCGAAGATTCCCTCGCAGATGTGGTTTGTTAGTGAAGTTGCAGTTCTTCTCATCCTAATCATCAGTTTTCTATTTTTTGTCATCACCTATATTTCTTTGTTATATATGATTCCCCTTTTAATTATTTTTGGCATAGCTGCTTGCGCAAAAATATATATTTATCTAACTTCAAACAAGTCATTCAGACAAGTTAAGAAAATAACTGGTGTTGTTTTCCTATTCGAGGAACAGGCAATGATGTTACTTTTGTTTGTGACAGGAGAGACAGGAGAGTGTTCGTCAGGGGTGAGACAGGAGAGTGTTCGTCAGGGGTGAGACAGGAGAGTGTTCGTCAGGGGTGAGACAGGAGAGTGTTCGTCAGGGGTGAGACAGGAGAGTGTTCGTCAGGGGTGAGACAGGAGAGTGTTCGTCAGGGGTGAGACAGGAGAGTGTTCGTCAGGGGTGAGACAGGAGAGTGTTCGTCAGGGGAGAGATAGGAGAGTGTTCGTCAGGAGAGACAGGAGTGTGTTCATCAGGAGAGACAGGAGAGTGTTCATCAGGAGAGACAGGAGAGTGTTTGTCAGGGGAGAGACAGGAGAGTGCTCATCACAAGAGAGACAGGAGAGTGCTCATCACAAGAGAGACAGGAGAGTGCTCATCACAGGAGAGACAGGAGAGTGCTCATCACAGGAGAGACAGGAGAGTGCTCATCACAGGAGAGACAGAAGAGTGATCATCACAGGAGAGACAGAAGAGTGCTCATCACAGGAGAGACGGGAGAGTGCTCATCACAAGAGAGACAGGAGAGTGCTCATCACAAGAGAGACAGGAGAGTGCTCATCACAGGAGAGACCATTTCTCTCTCTTCAATCGCGTATTGTTGGTTCTAAAGGTTCGAATGGCTTACAATTTGGCCCCATAAAAGCTGCCGCCTTACGAAGATGGGAATCCAGGATCACATAAGTGCGAGCAGTTACCGAGACACCTCCTGCAGGTGCTCGTAGCAGCCAAGTACGAATCCTCCTCTTGAGATGACCATCGCTGGCAGACTGTTCAAGGAGCCATATCGGTTCTCGGGACGGATCCGAAGACAACACCTTAAACGGTGGTGGAATGTGCTGGCTGGACGTGTCGAGAGAGTGTGTGGGTGATCATTGTTGCTGTCGTAAAAACCAACTTAAATGCACTTGGTCATTTATATGCGAGAGTGGCACGCTTGCCAACTACTCTGGGAGAGGAAGAAGGGGATGGGAGGGGATGGGAGGGGATGGGAGGGGTGTATTCTTCACTTTGGGGATGATTTTGTCTCACAATGACTAATTCAGTTTGGGTGATGTAGACACCTACATTATAAGTAAGCAATACTTACAATGCTGTCTAATACTATGCATCTTGAGAGTGAGGAAATATCTCTATATGTAAAGTAATATGCCGTAGTAAAATTTTCTAAATTATTAAGAACATTTACATAACTGAGTACTTTAATTCATTAATTAATCATCTTTCATTCAAAAAACTACATAGAACTAAAAATGTACACCATTGTACACCATGTAATAACTCCAGTGATCCCTTATTCTCGTCGATGACTTCAGAAACGAGTAATGAGTAATAGCCTTTGAGAGAGAAAATTAACATACAGTGCAAACAAGCTGTTTATCCTTGACCTTTCCCATGCACGGTGCTAATTACCTGATATTACCATGTACAGCACAGGATACTTAAACTTTCATTTATTCCTTATTAACGTCAAAATTCTTAACCACTTTAGATATCAAATGCAAGAAAGACTTAAGCAAGGACTTGTTTATGTTCTTATAATCGTTCTTCGACTCCATAGTACCCATCATCAGGTTATCTGACATCTGGTAATGAAGGATACCAGATACTTTGAACTCGTGTCCTGTTGTTTAAAGAGAGTAATAAATGTCTTGTCTTGAAGGTGGCGGTGTTAAGAAAATCATTGACTTTTGTTAAAAACAATTGCGTTCTTTCCTTCTTAGTTCAGATAATTTTTTTTCTTTTTTAGAAAGTGAAAATTTTGGTGCTTGTCAGTGGAAGAATTGTCATTTGTCATGCCGATGGGGAAGGAGTTGTCACTTGCCATACAGAGTGTGGAAACATTGAAAATAATACTTATGAGGATAATACTGATATATGCCGTCTTCAAGACGGTGGATATGCTATTTTTTCGTCCTTCGAATGATGCCAAATGTAGCTTGTCTTCTTCCAGAGGTGAAAGCCCTGTTTATCATAACCTAAATGGCAACAAAGTTGATTGAATTGTCTTTGATGGTGAAATCAATATATATATATATTCCTGTAGGGGGCAAAAATGGTGACTGCCGTCTTTCAGAGGGTGAAAATGACCGTTTCTTTTCCATAATTGATGGAAGCGTGACTAGGTATACCCCAGAAGGTGTAAAGGTTTATGATATAGATACTTCCTTACAAAAGAATCTCCCGAGATGATACAATCTGCTGCCCACAAGTTACAGAATGTGGTGTTTCATAGTGTGATTTACGTATATCATTCATAAGTTTTCCATTTCACCCACATTTTCTTGCATATTATATAACTAAATTATGCACCAGTTTCTATTTGCGACAATCGCATTGGCAGAGGAACGCACACGAACGAGATTAGAATGAGTTAAAACACTATACTTGATAAATATATTATATATTCTAGTATATTTACATTACCTTCAACCACCACCCAGAGCCCTAATTACCCTGATCACTGACCGGCCTCACAGTCAGTCCCTAGAGAATCCTTGTCGCCAAAGAACATCTAAACATTTGACTCTATCCCTAATTACTGGCCCAATGTTAATCACTTCATAACAGGCACAAACACATATATTACTCACAATGCTTGAATGACCAGGTGCCGACCAGAAGCTAATAGACGTTAGTGAGTTATTACAAAGGTAATGCATAATGAAGGAATTGTTTTAAACTTAATGTAAGGCCCTAGGAATGTCACAGAGGTGGCAGAGACTGCATGCTGGCCCAGAGATAATAGGGTGGCTAGTTCTCATCTGGAACTGACATCAGGCAGTCGACAGTGAGCCATGGACAGTGAAATATAGACAATGAACCATGAACAGTAAACCATGGACAGTAAACCATTAACAGTAAACCATGGACAGTAAACCATGGACAGTGAACCATAGAAAGTTAGCCATGGACGTGTCATGCCAAGGTGACATTCCTCTTCCTAGTGAGCGTAGCCTCTCATTCAGCAGAACTTGCGAGAAACATCATGATTGGTGTATGAAATAACATTGGACCAGTAATTTGATCAAGTCAGATGTTCTCCAGAGACTTAACCTGCGTAGGAACTAGTGTGGAGATGCTGTATGTGTAATTGATGCATATCAGTCGTGTGTTTCATATTTCCTCTACACATAGTAGTATATACCATGCCATTGGATCATACTCCAGACTCTACTTATCTATCTTAAAACAGGAGATATGCTAGTAACAGCTAGCTATAATAAATATAAAGGTATTTCCTCACTCTCAAGAAGCATAACAGATTGATATGTAACTAGCTGTCCTCCAGATAAAGCTTGTATTAGCTGTCCCTCCAGATAAAGCTATTACTAGCTGTCGTTCAGATAAAGCTGGTACTAACTGTCCTCTAGATAAAGCTGGTACTAGCTGTCTCCAGATAAATCTAGTATTAGCTGTCCTCCAGATAAAGCTAGTATTAGCTGTCCTCCAGATAAAGCTAGTATTAGCTGTCCTCCAGATAAAGCTAGTATTAGCTGTCCTCCAGATAAAGCTAGTATTAGCTGTCCTCCAGATAAAGCTAGTATTAGCTGTCCTCCAGATAAAGCTAGTATTAGCTGTCCTCCAGATAAAGCTAGTATTAGCTGTCCTCCAGATAAAGCTAGTATTAGCTGTCCTCCAGATAAAGCTAGTATTAGCTGTCCTCCAGATAAAGCTAGTATTAGCTGTTCTCCAGATAAAGCTGGTACTAGCTGTCCTCCAGATAAAGCTGGTACTAGCTGTCCTCCAGATAAAGCTGGTACTAGCTGTCCTCCAGATAAAGCTAGTATTAGCTGTCCTCTAGATAAAGCTGGTACTAGCTGTCCTCCAGATAAAGCTAGTATTAGCAGTCCTCTAGATAAAGCTGGTACTAGCTGTCCCCCAGATAAAGCTAGTATTAGCTGTCCTCTAGATAAAGCTGGTACTAGCTGTCCTCCAGATAAACATGTGTAAAGCTGACTCGTACATATGATATAAGCTAACTTCTGTTATCATAAATTGACGTGCCAACTGTACATGTATATCTTTTTGTGTATTTTTGCCAGGCGCCCAACTAGGTGAGTACACACACACATACACACATACACATACACATACACAAGCGAAAAAACAACCTAAGTTACTACACAGTCATATAAGAAGAAAAATGTCGGTGAACGACCAAGTGACAAGACTAAGGAAGACAGAGGGGGCATATACTGAAAGTGACAAGGAAATCTGCGAGGCACTGAATGCCAGTTTCCATGGAGTGTTCACTACTGAGCCTGAGCAGCTCCCATTGTTGGAAGGGGTTACCCTAGATAAAAGACTATCAGATATAGAGGTGACAGCAGAGGAGGTAATGAAACAGTTGACAACTCTAGATGCAACTAAAGCAGTTGGACCAGACAAAGTATCACCGTGGATACTAAAAGAAGCAGCACAGGCCCTCAGCGTGCCTCTGGCAATGATCTTTAATGAGTCACTTATGTCAGGAGAATTGCCCAGTTGCTGGAAGAAGGCAAATGTCGTGCCGATCTTCAAGAAAGGTGATAGGGAGGAGGCACTTAACTATAGACCTGTATCACTGACAAGCATCCCCTGTAAAATACTGGAAAGAATAATTAGGCTACGACTGGTTGCACACCTGGAGAACATTAGGTTTGTGAACAAACATCAACATGGGTTCTGGACAGGGAAATCGTGCCTAACAAACCTTCTGGAATTCTATGATAAAATAACGAGGATAAGACAGGACAGAGATGGTTGGGCAGACTGCATATTTCTGGACTGCCAAAAAGCCTTTGATACAGTACCGCACATGAGACTGCTGTTCAAGCTCGAGAGGCAGGCGGGGGTGGGGGGAAAAGTCCTAGCATGGATAAGGAACTACCTAACAGGAAGGAGCCAAAGAGTTACGGTAAGGGGCGAGAAGTCGGACTGGCGAACAGTAACAAGTGGAGTACCATAAGGATCGGTGCTGGGACCAATTCTATTTCTTGTATATGTTAACGACATGTTTACAGGTGTAGAGTCCTACATGTCGATGTTTGCGGATGACGCAAAGTTGGTGAGAAGAGTTGTGACAGATGAGGATTGCAGGATCCTCCAAGAGGACCTGAACAGGTTGCAGAGATGGTCAGAGAAATGGCTACTGGAATTCAACACGAGCAAATGTAAAGTTATGGAAATGGGACTAGGAGACAGGAGACCAAAGGGACAGTACACAATGAAGGGGAACAGCCTACCTGTAACGACGCGTGAAAGAGACCTGGGGGTGGACGTAACACCTAATCTATCTCCTGAGGCACATATAAATAGGATAACGACAGCAGCGTACTCTACACTGGCAAAAGTTAGAACATCATTCAGAAACCTAAGTAAGGAGGCATTTAGGGCGCTTTACACTGCCTACGTAAGGCCAGTCTTAGAGTATGCTGTCTCATCATGGAGTCCCTATCTGAAGAAGCATATAATGAAACTGGAAAAGGTTCAGAGATTTGCAACGAGACTCGTCCCAGAGCTACGAGGGATGGGGTATGAGGAGCGCCTGAGGGAACTATGCCTTACGACACTAGAAAGAAGAAGGGAGAGGGGGGGACATGATAGGAATGTATAAGATACTCAGAGGGATTGACAGAGTGGACATAGACGAAATGTTCACACGGAATAGTAACAGAACGAGGGGACATGGATGGAAGCTTGAAACTCAGATGAGTCACAGAGATGTTAGGAAGTTTTCTTTTAGCGTGAGAGTAGTGGGAAAATGGAATGCACTTCAGGAACAGGTTGTGGAAGCAAATACTATTCATAATTTTAAAACCAGGTATGATAGGGAAATGGGACAGGAGTCATTGCTGTAAACAACCGATGCTCGAAAGGCGGGATCCAAGAGTCAATGCTCGATCCTGCAGACACAACTAGGTGAGTACACACACTCACACTCAGCCGGTGGCCAAGCGGACAGCACGCTGTACACGTAATCCTGTGGTCCAGGGTTCAATCCCGGGCACCGGCGAGAAACGATGGGCACAGTTTCTTTCACCCTATGCCCCTGTTACCTAGCAGTAAATAGGTACCTGGGAGTTAGTCAGCTGTCACGGGCTGCCTCCTGGGGTGTGTGTGTGTGTGTGGTGTGTGGGAAAAAAATAGTAGTAGTAGTAGAAACAGTTGATTGACAGTTGAGAGGTGGGCCAAAAGAGCAGAGCTCAACCCCCGCAAGTACAACTAGGTGAATAAAACTAGGTGAATACACACACACACACACACACACACCAAGGGTGGGTGTGACCCCCCCAAGGGTGGGGGGTCACACATGTAACCCCCACCCTTGCGAGGGGGGTGGGAGGTTCCCCCCACCCCCTCTATCCTTCCCCCTCCCAACCTCTCAACCTCTCTCTGACTCCCAACCTTACGCTATCTCCCAACCCCTCTATGCCTATCCGACCCTCCCTAATCTTCAGACCCAATATGCCCATCCTACTCCAGACCTACCTACCCAGGCCCTACCCCAGACCCTCCTACCTACCCAGGCCCTACCCCAGACCCTCCTACCTACCCAGGCCCTACCCCAGACCCTCCTACCTACCCAGGCCCTACCCCAGACCCTCCTACCTACCCAGGCCCTACCCCAGACCCTCCTACCTACCCAGGCCCTACCCCAGACCCTCCTACCTACCTTCCTAGAACTCCAGCCCCCATTAGACATCCCCAAGCACCCCTCCTGACCTCTTTAACCCCCCATACACCCCCCGGACCCCCCCCCCCCCAGACTCCCCCCGGATCCCCCCGGACACCCCCCGGATCCTCCCCGCCCCCAGTCATCCTCCAGACATCGTAGATTTCCTTGACACTTTCTGTATATGCCCACTCTGTGTTCCTTAGTCTTATCACTTGGTCGTTCACCGACATTTTTCTTCTTATATGACTGTGTAGTTATTTAGGTTGCTTTTTCGCTTTGATCGCCATATCGCTCTCATAGTTTTTTTCCGATGCTCTTCTTATGTCCTCGCCTGTTCTAAGTTTCAATACCTGTTCTTTCACTGTTTTTTCCTTCTGATGTGACTGTGGACTAGCTTTGGTTCGGTCTTGGCTTTGTTTGCTATATCATTTTCAAAACTTTTCTCTGCTTCTCTTCTCACCCTGACGTACTCATTTCTGGTTCTCTGGTATCTCCCTCTGCTTTTTGGTGTTCTGTTATTCCGGAAGTTCCTCCACGCCCTTTTGTTCAGTTTCTTCGCTTCCATGCATGCCCTATTATACCATGGATTCTTCTGTTGCTTCTCGGATTTTTCCCTTTGGGCCGGGATGAACCTGTTTACTGCCTCCTGACACTTTTGGGTAACATAGTCCATCATACCCTGTACAGACTTGTCTCTGAGGTCTGTGTCCCAAGGTATTTCCCTGAGGAAACATCTCATCTGTTCATAATTCCCCTTTCGGTATGCCAGCCTTTTGATTCCTAGTTCATTTTTGGGGGAGATAATTCCTAGCTCTACCAGGTACTCAAAGTTCAAAACACTGTGGTCACTCATTCCCAAGGGCGCTTCCATCTTAACTTCTCTTATATCCCACTCATTTAGGGTAAATATCAAATCAAGCATTTTTTGTTTTTATTATTATTATTTTCTACCACAGACATGGCCACACATTTACAATGCTAACCAGCATATATACATTTTCTTCTGTCCTCCATGGACAGGGTTAGAGAAATGTTAAACATAGAGTTCAAGGGTTTATTGAACACTCAACCACAGAAGGTGATTCGGTGCTTTTAAAATGCTAAGCTAACCTACATACGTATATACATAGATACACAGATTTACGTATGCCCTACATAAAGTGTTTGATGTGTCTTTTACATAGTGTCATTAATGTACATTCACGAAGGTGAAATGTAATTCTGATCAGCTTCCATATATACTTTATACCCATACATATACATACATATATACACACACATGCATTCACATACATCTGTCTCATTTACTCTGACAGGGTGAGATAGCTGATAAAGAAACTAGTGTGCAATTAAGCACTTAATCACTGAAGGTGATAAAGGTGCTTTTACAAGCTCAGGTTATATAGTTACATCATTGAATAACATTGAATAAATGATATATTGAATATAACATTGAATAAATGATATATTGAATATAACATTGAATAAATGATATATTACATGGTCAATCTTGGATACAAGTCCAATATATCATCAAGTGTTCCAGTACTCATATAGTAATTACAGAGTTCAGCATACCTTAGCCCAGGAGGGCGAAAGTCAGTCAGTATGGGACAATATAATGTTCAAGAGAGTGCATGTTTTCTCTTTCACAAAGTTGACACATTGTGTACTCGACATTTGGGTTTTGAGAAAGCTGCCAGATACGTCTATATCCCAGGCGTATTCTGGTCACTATAACATCACATTGCCGGGTTCATGTTCTATTAGTCCCATATCTGAATGTCTCCTCATGATATCTATCATAATATTTAATGCTACAACTTTCAGGTCTTTGTGAATTTGTTAGGTCGGTGAGATTTTCATTAGATATTTGTTTAAGTATTCTCTTTGTCACTGCTAATGAAACACCCATATCAATTTCTACCACTGGTTTTCTGCAGGCTGTCTTAGCAAGCATATCAACAGTGTCATGCCTTGAGATGCCAACATGTGATGGTATCCATAGGAATTTAATCTCAAATCTGTTTTCTTTAGCAGCTAAAACATTCATTCGAATATCACTGACTATTTTCTGGGTGTCACTACTATGTGCATTCAGTCATTCAGTGCCAGGAGTGCACTCTGCGAGTCACAGTATATAAGTCCACTGCCTTTGTCTTTTAAAAATTCAGTGGCAAGGTATATGCCTGCAAGTTCGGTTTGAGTTGTACTTGCCCAGTCATTGACGCGCTTCATTGCTGTATGTACGAGAGAAGATTGTTCAAATATGTTACATGCACATCCGGTACAT